CAATTCTTTGGTGTTTTCCCAAAAATAAACAATGTCAAAATGCATCAAATTCTCATATAAACAAAGCATAACAATAATAACTTTAATGGGGCAGTGCAAAAAAATAATTTATATAAATATGGGACCTCTATCAGAGTTCTATATTCACACAAACCTTCTCACATGTGAGCTAATATGAATATCAATATGCCTTATAATTATGATTGAAGAAAGATGATTTCAGTGCATACATACTAGCAAATTTTACCATGCTATCCAATAATGTCACCATACTTTAAACAAGTAGTAATGGCATACACTTTACATAGTGGATACTTTTCTGTTTTTTTTAAAACAAAAATGTAGTACACTGTTTCATGGAAAATAATTCATGAGATTATTTACATCATTATCTTCCAGCATCATTCAGTAAAAAGATAAGTCCAGTCTTACAAGTAATATACTGATTTGGAATGTATAATTTTCTCACTGTTCACAAAAATTTAGTATGCACAAAGTAGGTCTACACATCTGGAACACACTTCCAAAATTCAATGTGGCCAAGAAATGATTCTCCTTGAGAGAAAAACTATACTTTTGCAACACAAAAAAGAATAATAATTTAGGACTTGTTATTTAGATTGTGCTAAAATTTATGAATTAACACTTGGAACAACAATACCTGAAAATTATGTGGTTTAAATTTTTAAATTTAATAATACATATGTTTTAAATACTGTTTATGAAACTGTGAATGGAATCTGGGTGTATTTCACATTTAACACAGAAAACATTAATGACACCAGCACTTGGTCTAATACCTGACAGGATGATCAAGATGACATTGACCTTCTAGAACTGTATTTTAAAGAATGCATCTTCTTGTTATATACAATATATAGTATAATTCTATCATGTTGTGTCAATCAATTACGATGAATACATTACCTCAGTGTGAAAAATTAAGACTTTTTGTGGCATTACACAAACTTAAAAATTGCATGCTTGTATTGTTTAGAAGGATAAGAGGTCCATTTAAAAAGTGCTTAAATATTTTATACATTGTATCAGAAATAAATGTAATTTATAAGGATCATGCTAAGAAACAGTCATATAAACATGCATCCAATTTTGCTTTTGTAAAAACTGCAGAGCACTGATATTATCTGCAAACAGGATAGGATGAGGCAATCCTTCTGCATGGTAATCAAGAACAGTAACCCAAATCTCTTTTTTTTAGGGGGGAGGGATTTAAAGGTCTTGGTTACTAAAGAGTAGTAAATTCAGAGTAGCTACAGTAATGGGTGCATAACATTTGTCACAAAGATTGCACCCAACCAGGAGTTTTTGATATCCCAGTTGCTCACATAAGCAGAAGTAATGAATGAAAATCGCTTTCAGCATATCCTATAAAGAACATGAATAAATGAAGTATGGTCTGAAGCTTCCATGGTACCGAATACCCTGAGGATGAGTATGGTTCTTGAAACGTTGGTGTTTTCTCCATTAAATCATCTTACATGGCTGGTAACCCAAGAGGAATTCATTATGAATAAATGAAGTCTACTTAACAGCTAATGTTGCAGGCTTACTTAAGCTAACTTCAGTACCTTCTACATCTGTACAGAATAAAACTGGATCCCCATGTTCCTCAACAGTTGTTTGTTTGTAGTTTTTGATCATACAATCCATCCTATATGTTTATGATACATATTTCTGATATACTCTGTATAAAAACCATTCACTGTAACCAGTGCTTGAATTCTTTTTAAAAATAACAACAAAAATCTGTACCATCCTACCCAACTTTTATGGTTCTTCCTTACTGAAGAACATGTGTATAATTTTTGAGTACAGTGAATATTTCAAATCTTAAAACTTTGCATACCGTGTAGTATATTAGAATATAAAATAAGCAACAAACTATTAACATTACAAAAAAAAAAAGACACTAGTGCCATACGCGTTTGAACCTCAAGAGGTCATCATCAGTGGCAACAGGGAAATTAATTCATTTAATCAAAATGGTTTAAAATTGGTCTAAATATGGTTTAGAAAACAAATCATGAAGTAGAGTTATTTTACAATAGCATATCAAGCAACACTACACTAGATGTTGGTTTCACAGGAGTTGAACTCTGCACTTAGCTATTGATCCAATGGTCCGGTGGCCGTAGCTGGTCTGCGGCGAGCTGTTGTTGCGTCGTTGGAGTTCACAGGTATTGATCAAGCACCCTTAAGAATTTTGCATATTAATTAAATACTGTACATTTTCACATACTAATTTAGAGCTATGTGAATAGAAGCATCATAAATAGTGCTAAAGAATCTAGTAACATTTGTGTATAGAGATTAAAAATACACTAATTTTAAATTCTATAAAAAGTTTATACTTTATCTAACAAAGCAAGTGCATGGCAAGATGGTGGGTATGAGAGTAGCAGATATAGTTGTAGCTCCAATTCTGAACCATAAAATAAATTTAAAAAAGTAAAAATATCTGTAAGGACTGTGTAAAGCTAGAAACAGAACTTGGTAAGACCTTATCAGAATGCATCTTAGAAAAAAATGATTAAGTTCCTTCCTACATGACATTTCAAGAGCTAGCTGTATTCCAGTATTCAGGTGATTGATTTTCATTATACTGACTAATTTTTCTTATTATTTTTATTTTAAGAATAGTCAAAACTATCTAAATACTAGACTAGTAACACTAGAATAGCAGTGTATATTAAATACACATCAGACAATAAAAAAAGCCCAACATAATAATGTTGGTACAAGCCAATATATATATAATATGATTCTTCCATGAATATTTAACATGTCACATTTATCTGATGTATTTTTGTGGGATGAAGACAGACAATATATTCCTCCAGAATAGTATCATCTTCACAAATGTGAGAACCTTAAATTTCACATAATATGTATTTGACACATTGGGAGCTTTTAGTATGTTAAGGAAAGGGTCCTGTAATTGAAAACATGAAATTAAAGGGTTCGATAAATTGGGATATTTTGAAATCCTTTCAGTTATCTCTTGTGCTTTGCCAGTATCAAATCCAAACTCTGCATTCACTATCAGTTGCAAGTTGAGCCTACTTTTAAGTGTACACTACAAAGCATCTGTGAGTAGCATTACTGAATATATGATAAAATATAATATTCTAATGGAATGTTCTCACTTTCATACTCCAGTATTAATTTCAACACTTCACTGGGCATGGATTTACTAAAAGGCTTACTTTTGTGGATCTGAAATGACAAAATATGCATAAACCATATGTAATATTGTATGTATAAGACCACATTCCACATCTACAAACTTTCATGTCCTAATTTCTAGCATAAGGCAAGCTACATTTTTCCAATTTTCAAGCCATAATAAATGTTCTGAGCAGTGAAAGTAAATTTGTCAGCTGTCTGTTTTTTTTACGGAATATCAGTTCTGCACCACATGAACATAAATCAATACTGTTATTTGTGAGACATATGTTACATTTTTATTTAATATACTCGTAGCACTTTAATAAAATCATGCTATATATAGGGGTATGGTAAATACAGTTGTAACATACATCACTGTTTAAACTGTTGCAATGCAGCAATGAAAAAATAAATGACTAGCCATTAGATTCTAGAGAACAGTCCAAAGATACGTGCTACTATAATTTTGTCCCATATCTGGTGACATCTAAACATTTAATACTGGATATGGCGAAACTGACAAAACAATGACTGACAATAACTTAACTGGATCATTTCAAATTCTACTGTACTTCTCCAATGCAACTATGATGGGGTATATAAAAGAGTAAGGTCAAATCAAAGTCAACAAAATTATTCAATTTAAAAACGTAATTTAATTCTCAAGATGAAACACACAGTAACTTAGAGCTGATTACACTCTTGGTCAACTACAGAATGCGGAATGTAATTAAAAGTTATAAATAACATTGTAGGACCTGAGGTTTTCACAGCCGTGAGTCTGAAGATTGCCGTCTTCTGGGTTATTGCGCCGTGTAGTCTGGTAGATTTCCACCAAAATATCAGAGGTCATAACGCCTCCGTCTTCAAGGCGATGAATTTGTAGCCCTGATGATGGACACAGTATGACCTCTGAAACGTTGGTGGAAATCTACCAGACTACACAACGCAATTACAGAGAAGACAGCAATCTTCATAAATAACATCATCTATATATGATGGGGGTTGCGTGAAAGTGAAAGAGTGCATTCTTCTTACTACAGCTACAGTGACAAAAACTCTTGTAACATTTCATAAAAATTTCCACACTATGAAAACTGGAACACATTACATTTATGGTTCTCACATTTGCCTAAATTATTTGATGATGCCGGCTGGCACACTGATTCACTATGAATGTAGGCCGCACCCCCTAAAGGCAGAAGCTCGTACTACATCCGGTTCGCCCGCTATTGACACAGTCTTGAAACTTTCCGATCGCACCTCGTATGATAGGGTATATAAAAGAGTAAGGTCAAATCAAAGTTAACAGAATTATTCAATTTAAAAACATAATTTAATTCTCAAGATGAAAAACACAGTAATTCAGAGAGCTGATTACACTCTTGGTCAACTACAGAATGAGGAATGTAATTAACAGTTATAAATAACATCGTAGGACCTGAGGTTTTCACAGCCGTGAGTCTGAAGATTGCTGTCTTCTGGGCTGTTGTGCCATGTAATCTGGTAGATTTCCACCAAAATTTCAGAGGTCATACTGCCTCCATCATCAAGGCGATGAGTTCATTGCCCTGATGACGGAGGCAGTATGACCTCTGAAACGTTTGTGGAAATCTACCAGACTACAGGGCGCAATAACCCAGAAGACAGCAATCTTCATAAATAACATCATCTATATATGATGGGGGTTATGTGAAAGTGCAAGAGTACATCCTTCTTAATACAACTACAGTGAAAAAACTAAAAAAAAATTCACTGGAACACAGCAAAAGTTTGCATAGCAGTTTATCTCCACATTACCCCCATCATGATTTTTACATCAATAAGATATTTTTATTTAACTATACATCAACAATGATACAGAATTCAAGTCTTTCAAGACTAAACAGAGTCTAAATAACTACATTTATCACAAAACAGTGTTTATATTCTGGGATATATCTAAAAGGAAATGTACTATTAATGGAATCTAATTTACCATTAAATGGCAAATATCAAGACTGATGCTAACATCTTGCTGTATCTATGTGGTATCTTTTCACAGAATTACACTCAACTAATTAAAAGTTTTAACTTTCATTATTTAAAGATACAGGACAGAAATTCATTACACATAAAAATAAAATTAATTAAACTAGTCAATATTTCTAATGACTATACCATGACACAATAAGATTTAAACCACAAGAATGAACAAAAATACATATTTTTTTTAATTATCATTGTTTCTTCCTGTTTTGAGATATGCAGAACTGGAATAACCAAGGAATTTTTACTTATATCTAGAATTATTCTACTTTTTAAATCAATGCTGATTTTCCTAATAGTTCTGTCTCCCTCACAACAGATACTGAAGAAAGTAACTGAACACAAATACAACATTCTCCTTACCCATGAAATGTGTGTTTACTGTATTGAGGAGCCCATATCCAAACCTCCTTCCTCTTCAAGTTTAGAAAGGAATTTTATAACTCTGTACGGCTCCTCTGTCTGACGAGCCATGTCAATCAAAGCCAGCAATTTCTTGATGCCAATGAACACCCTAAACAAATAAATTCAGTATGTTCTAAACAAATTAATAATTTTATTTAGCATGAATCTAACTTTGAATTTGGCTTAATATTGTGTTTCAGTTAAGTTTTCACTTTTACATACCTGTGGCCAAGAATCTTCCGAGATAACGCTGACAAATCCTTCTTGGTGAAAACATCTGATTCTTCAAGAACAGCCATTAAATGATCTGGTTGTGAAAGGTTTGGAACATGAAGAACAGCTGTAAAAGCTGACAACATCTCCATATCTTCTAACACTTGCCTAAACACATAAGTAAGGAGATAAATTAGGTTAACAATGCTGGCAACACACCAAAAACTGTAATAATCCTGCAAGCACAATTCAATATAACAGCCTAAGTACCAAACTGGAAGTGATGTAAGTCTATGAGATGGTGTCATAATTCCAATCATTCCTAATCTTGTCTACATGTGGCTTTTCTCTGCCTTCAATAACTACAGTGATTTATTCCAGATAACTATTAGACAAAGACATCAATATGTCTCCCTAATTTTAAGAAAAATATGAATTTATGCTTTTTCTGAGTCCCATCATGAATTCTGATGCAAAAATCCAGCTGAACGCTAGACTTCACTAGGGTAGAAAACTAGAACTGAACTGAAGATTATGTTTGAGAGTTTGAATTTCGATATCTGGATATTTTTGCTTTTAATTATTATTTTGTATTCACACAAATACTAATTATAACTGTGTACCTGCATATTAATGAACCATATGCTTAAACACTTTATTAATTTCATTGCGGGTTACATTTGTTATTTCAGTTGGATGGAGCCAGGGTAGCTCAGTCAGTATAGTGACTGTCTATGTACTGGAAAACCAGGATTCTATCCCTGATAAGGGCAGAGGATTTTTCTTCTAGCCTCTGCACCCAGACTGGTTCTGGGGCCCACCCAGCCTCCTGTCCAAAGGGTACCAGGGTTCATTTCCCCAGGGGGTAAAACATGGCCAGGATACAAAGCTGGCCACTCACCACTACCTAGTGCCGAGGTTAAGAATGAACAGGAGCTATACCTACTCTTCCCGTCCCAATCAAGCGCCTACATGGTGTACAGTAGGACAGTCTTACTTTTACTTTACTTATTTCAGTTGGATATAAGCAGGCCCATGGCTAATTCATGTAACTGAGATTGGAGAGGGCTTTGTATAGCCTATTTTGAAAGTCATCAAGTGTATCTTATTCTTTTATGTTTGAAAGTGCAGAGGAAAGTTATACCCATTAGTATGAAGGACGGGGGTTGTTGAAACACAGCTACATACCACTGGCCAGTTACTATAATATATATGACATATGAGGCTCAAGCCCTCTGTCCTCCATTTTCATCACAATGGCTCGTCACAAAAGATCTGTTAGCAGGCAGGTCACTGCTTTTGTTGTGATAGTGGTTTAACATTGGCCGAGGAAGAGCATAGATATGTCTTGAAGGTATTCAGAAGTACTTCTGAATACCTTCACCACTATCACTTCAAAATATACCCTCACTCCAATGAATTTGGAAGTAAACATCATCAGAAGTTACACAACAACAGTAATTAAGTTTTAGTTTATAAAATTATAATTTTTAACTTTTAACTTTACACCTGAAGATGGTTCAATGTAACCGAAACATGTAGTAAAAAGATGTACCAAATATGTAAATGATATTTTAATAACTTATGTATAATTTTATTTATATACAATTGTGATTAGACGGGAAAAAACACGATTAATTAAATTACAGTAGTAAATTTTTGATTTCATCCCATCTTAAGAGACACACACGTAAATTACATTAGATTTAGAGTCACGACACGCATGCGCCGTTAGTGTGTGACGTCATGATACCGGGTACTGATTCACGCGTCGTCACAAAAGATTAATTTTTAGTTTTAAAGGTCATAGTCGAAGGCTATAAATTATGCAAATTAATGCTCCAGTCAAGGGAACCTAAATTATTTGTTTAATATGTTTTGTATACCGTACACATGCACTTACAATGTTTTATTTAAATCAGTCTGTTATAAATTATAGGCCATTTATTTAAACGTTTCTGACTTTTGTCACAGAGAATAATTTGATCATCAGAAAATATGGACTACTTGTGTTTTATAATTGTACGGGATTTTGAATTGTATTCCTGCCGACAATTTGTCATACAGCTCTGAAATTCACTTTTAATTTTATTATATTAATTTTAAATTATTTTTTATATTAGATTGTATCGTAAATAACATTTGCTATTAATTTGACCCGTGTTTTAAATAATCGTATATTTAATACCAAATAACCAACAAATATTCTTTATATCCTGAACCTGACAAATATATTTCACACCATAATCTATTTTTTAAGATCCATTTTAATATTATTCTACCATCTGTGACTTGGTAGTAGAATGTGTATTGAGATAAATCAGTCTAGTTCAGCGTTTCTCAACCTATGGTATGTTGAGTGGTACGCGAACTTAGTAAAAAAATATCAAAAGATAACATTAATATAAATACATTTTTCCTGAACGCATTTGGTTAGTGGTACAATTAAAATTAGTGGTAAGGCAGCGAAAAAGGGTGTGAACCCCTGGTCCAGTTGATAATATAACGTAGTTACTCAAGATGACAATGAAAAGCCCGTTTTCCAGGTTATGTCAACTAGAACTTACGTGAATGCTGTTTTATGTTGTGACCGAAACGTCCGAAAGTTTTATGCAGTCTTGGGACGTAAATTGGAAATGTCCTCGTGGCCTTACTGAAAAAATAATTTATAGCAAAACCAATTTTATCACAGCCTGTAGATGCCAAGTTAATTTCCTCTCTTATAACGCTGTCGCAGTGGGGAAAAGAAAGCTAATGTTTCGTTTATGTCACATTGGATATTGCAAAAGCCATGAGGACCTAAATACAGAGATCAGCAAATCGATAAGATTTTTCTCTCTGAATAAAAGCCTCTGGTCTGTTCATTTTTAACTCTTATATCATCTTCCTATACTGATATAAAGGGAAACAATAAATACCTACAGATTTTTGAAGGGTAAACTTGTAGAAAAGGCGAAATTTTTTTGAGGAATTAATGTTTAGGTAATATTAAAACGGATCTTTTGATAGTAATGGATGAAGGTGTGTAATAATCCTGCAAGCACAATTCAATATAACAGCCTAAGTACCAAACTGGAAGTGATGTAAGTCTATGAGATGGTGTCATAATTCCAATCATTCCTAATCTTGTCTACATGTGGCTTTTCTCTGCCTTCAATAACTACAGTGATTTATTCCAGATAACTATTAGACAAAGACATCAATATGTCTCCCTAATTTTAAGAAAAATATGAATTTATGCTTTTTCTGAGTCCCATCATGAATTCTGATGCAAAAATCCAGCTGAACGCTAGACTTCACTAGGGTAGAAAACTAGAACTGAACTGAAGATTATGTTTGAGAGTTTGAATTTCGATATCTGGATATTTTTGCTTTTAATTATTATTTTGTATTCACACAAATACTAATTATAACTGTGTACCTGCATATTAATGAACCATATGCTTAAACACTTTATTAATTTCATTGCGGGTTACATTTGTTATTTCAGTTGGATGGAGCCAGGGTAGCTCAGTCAGTATAGTGACTGTCTATGTACTGGAAAACCAGGATTCTATCCCTGATAAGGGCAGAGGATTTTTCTTCTAGCCTCTGCACCCAGACTGGTTCTGGGGCCCACCCAGCCTCCTGTCCAAAGGGTACCAGGGTTCATTTCCCCAGGGGGTAAAACATGGCCAGGATACAAAGCTGGCCACTCACCACTACCTAGTGCCGAGGTTAAGAATGAACAGGAGCTATACCTACTCTTCCCGTCCCAATCAAGCGCCTACATGGTGTACAGTAGGACAGTCTTACTTTTACTTTACTTATTTCAGTTGGATATAAGCAGGCCCATGGCTAATTCATGTAACTGAGATTGGAGAGGGCTTTGTATAGCCTATTTTGAAAGTCATCAAGTGTATCTTATTCTTTTATGTTTGAAAGTGCAGAGGAAAGTTATACCCATTAGTATGAAGGACGGGGGTTGTTGAAACACAGCTACATACCACTGGCCAGTTACTATAATATATATGACATATGAGGCTCAAGCCCTCTGTCCTCCATTTTCATCACAATGGCTCGTCACAAAAGATCTGTTAGCAGGCAGGTCACTGCTTTTGTTGTGATAGTGGTTTAACATTGGCCGAGGAAGAGCATAGATATGTCTTGAAGGTATTCAGAAGTACT